GTGAGTTTTTATGACAATTTTATATCATCTGTTCAGAGCCAGAAGGATGTTAACTGTGTGTAAAAACATGCGTTAATGTCCATCTGGCTCCAAACATGTGATGCAATCTGATGACAAATAGAAGGGTGTTTTGGGAATTTAACACCCTTCTGGCTATCAGCAGATGATACATACAACATAAACAATATAACATTCAAATGAAATACACAATCAAAAATAATGAACAGGCACAATCTAGAACACACAAAACATTGGCTACAATTACTGAGATTTTCACTAGTTAGAAACTAATAGAACGTGAAAATAGGAAATGTTTTAAATTTATTGGAATTTCAAAATGCCAGATTGCTAAGATTCTGTACTTTGATTAACAGAAAAAAAGACAGTGTTAGGGAAAGAGAACATACACTGCAATGACATCTAAACTTTGAAAGACCTACTCAATTACAACAGCAGATTTGAAAAGACGATTCGTTACACTAATTTACCTAAGCCTAATAGAAAACACAGAAATTGGAATTACAGGTCAAGACTATATTATTGAGTGTTATTTTTTAATAATCTATGAAAGGATAAACAAGTCTCTAGGGAGTTTTAATGTCTGTCTATTAATCTTCATTAACCTTTGTGACAGTTCTAATTTACTCTCTCTTTCTTCCTATTATGATGATGATGAAATTGCAATTTTGTTTTCTCTGTATGTTCTCTCAATCTCTTTTTCTCCCTCTACGCATTCAAATTAGACAATTAAAATAATGTCTTTTTTCACCCTATTATTTCTCTCTTTCCTTATTGTTCCATCATAATAATCCTTCCACTCACTCTCACTCTGTCTCTCTCTCTTCCCTTGTCTCTTTCTTCCTCTCCCTTCCTTTTTCCTTTGTCTCTGTCTGTCTATGTGTCTGTCTGTCTGTCTCTCTCTCTCTCTCTCTTTCTCTTTCTCTCTATCTTTCTCTCTCTCTTTATCTCTCAATCATATCACTTTAATCAAACACCACCCTCAACTCAAACTTGACTCAGCGAATCACGTTTCCAGACTACAGAGCTTAACTGGATTTGCATTGGGAATCAATTAAGACCTTTGCCATCTGTCTGTCTGGCGAATAAATGTTTCGTTAACATTGATCAAGCTTGTCTCCAACCAAACATGCTTTCCCACTCATAGTAAAGTTACATTTGGAACAGTGAAAAAAATATGTTAAAAAATATAAGGAGTATGTGCCCCCCCCCCCCCCCCCAATGAATTTGACTTTAAAATACAACAAATAAGATGTCTGGAATGATGACCAGCTAGCATTTGAATTTTAAATGACTAAATATTCTTAATCATAATTCAAATTCTTGCAAACTCCATCACAGCACCATTGCTATTTTTCTTCAATGTATTCTCGCCCTCTTTTTACCATTCATATGCTATATGACCACAAATATGGATATAATGTAATTATCATTCCTGTGCTATAACATGCAAACATTGGTATATTGTTGAATTTTTTTCTGAGAAAAAGGCAGAGCTCAACTCCCTAGAGTGTTAGAGGTATTTTCCTAATACGATTGACATTTAGAATTTGATTTCACTGTAATAAAGACTGTATGAAGGGAAACCAAATCATGTTGATTTTCATCTCAAATATTGCCATAGGTACACACACATTCAAGGTTAGTGTAACTCTTATTTTCTTTCTTCTTCTTTCTTCTTCTTTCATTTGTTCCTTTATTGTTCTCTCTCCTTTAGTTCGAGGACAAACATGTATGACCTATTCACTCACTGCAGTAATCTTGACAGTCTTGTCAAAATGTGATAGTGTGTTTGTGTGTGTAAAGCATGTTTTTGGAGCTATTCAAACACCCAAATCAAACATTTCGTGACCCTATTAAGTTTCCATCGTTATCAAGCTTGATCAGATATCAAAAGCAAACTGATTGAGATATATAGAAACCGTGGAGAAAAAGAGGTAAACACTGTTTTTTAAAGAAACTCTACCAATCACTCCTTATCCCTTATAATGGAGTTGTAAGTTTGAACTGCCTTAATTTTTATAACAAACATAATCTTTTCAAAGTAACTCTATCTTTAAAAAATTTGAATTTCAAAAGAAGGTCGGAAATCAAAGAAGTCATTTAAGTTACAAGAATGATATCTTGTGCATGATTAAAATAAATCATCTTAAAATACCTGTTGTTGATGTTGGTGTTGATATTTTTGTTGTTGTTGTTGTCACAGTTGTTATTGTTGTATATTATTATCCTGACATGACCGCCAGCAATTAACTCATGGAAAAGAATTCAATTGTTTCTAATCAACTAATATATTCATTTTAATGAATAGTCACAAATTTGACATGAATAATGTGGACTACAAACATTCTTTTGTTTGTAAAGGTAATAACAAAATTACACTAACTTTCAATGAAACACTCCCAATTAGTAGAATACTTTGGCAATATATCTGTACTAGCTTCTCCATTTTCAAGTTGAAATTAGAATTAGGCACCCCACCAGTAAACATTATCTATCCCAAAGTATTCAACCAAGCAGACAGCGATGGAGAATATAAGCTGCGTAAATTAGAAGAGAATTAATTCAAATTCCCTTCCAATTACACGTACAATGCAACAGGGCTGCTTGATGGGAATTTCTCAATTACAATGAGATTGAGAAAAAAGGGTGACTTTTTTATTTGGCCATGCAACAATGATGTTACCACGGCGATAGGCTCCAAGGTAATTTTGCAAAGAGCTTTTGATGCTTCCAAATATTGCTCTATAATACCTATCCTTTTATAGAGAATTGAAAATGGCAGCATTAGAAATCATGAGGCTCCGTCAGCATTGCACATAATATGAAGGATCATTGCATTCATGTAGCTGTGGACTTGGTAAGCACAATGAATAATCGTCTGTTTGATTGAAGCCAAATAATGGAGTACCGGTAATCATATCTCTGTTTAAATTTCATTCCTTTTACTTAGCAATGATTAGTTATAATGAAGGGCAGTAGATGGGTAGATCCATCTCTAATCTTGCATGTGAGGTCTATAAATAGAATTCTTGGCCCAAGACCAAATTACAGAGCAAAATTTAAGCACCATTCCCCCCAAAAAGAAAAACATAGCTGTTTTTTATTTTCAATGTTATGATGATGATGAAAACCCATATCCCGAATCCCAAACAGAACAGAATTTCACCTGTCTTTCTAGCACACTCTCTTGCATACCTGTTTGTCCACACTGCATGCATTCAAGTATAGTAAACAGGTTCCTACCACATCTTTCTTTCAGGTTTAGAGTATATGAGCATGCTTAATTTCTCATACATATTACACAAATCAATATCAGTCAATGCATGCACAAAGCCCAAACAATGCCTCTCAATACAAAATTCAAAATATTGTATAACAATAATATATTTTTTCTTGTATATTTAAGGAAGATTTTACATTATGATATGATGTGATGATGACAATCATAACAAAGCTGAATCTTTGAGATGTATTATCTGCTGAAAGCCAGAAGGACTTAGACTCCTATCCTTCAATGCAGAGGTAACGCCCTTCTGGCTCTCAACAGATGATATGACCAGGGACCCGTTTCACAAAGCCTTTTTTCAATGACAAATGACAAAAATCAGTGGCAAATCTGCTGATAACCAATCAGAAGCAAGGATTCCACTACCTTATAACAAATACTGCCATTTGTCACTGATGACAAGTTTTGTGAAATGGGGCCTGAATGGCAGATTTTAAAGATGAGAAATAGGAACACAGAGTCAATTAATTCCAAACAGACCAACGCACAACCTCTTGATAACACACAATGATCATTGGAATAGAAAAATAACATCTAGATGGCTGAATGAAAATAAATGAAAGAACAGAAAATAAAAAAGAATAGAAATATTTTAAAGGAAATAGAGCATGTATGATCTTCATAACTTGTCATGCTATCACTTTATAAGCAATCATCTCGTTCTGTGCATGCTTATATCATGTTTTTGCAGAAAGTAAAGAGAAGATGAATTACTATCGGCCAATAGATACATTCTCTGTACAAATATTAAAACCCTCCCTGTTTTACTTGTAGAGGAACTTTACTGAGCACAGCATTACTTTCTACAAAAAGCCCCCCCCCCCCCTTCCTCAAAATAATATGTTGAAGATATTTCAAAACCCTCTTTTCATCTTACTAAAGGTACGTGTAGGAGATAATGACAGCGGTACCTGGTAATGCTCATTTCATGATAATAGCACATTATGTGCAGGCTACTAAATAAACAACAGTAATGTACATTTGGTATATTACATATTTCATGTAAAAAATAATTAGTCCTTTATTCTATCTCTGTAGCAGAAAGTAGAGAAGAAGGAGTTCATAACGGATAAATAATTTCAGTGTAAAGCATTAAAGCTGGCTTGGTTTTGCATGCATACTGTTGCTTGAAGTTCAGGTATGATTGTCTTTTGCAGGCTTTACTTGAAATGCAAAGAGTAAAATGCTACGTAAAAGGCTGGTTGCTGAATTCCAACACTGCATTCAATTATAGTATAGCGCTTTTACACTGGATGAACTTGCATGTAATGATGCTGTTTTTAAGCTGGTGCCAAAATGCCATTAAAACTGCATGCAGCCATATAAATTATCACATCAAAAAGCTATGGAGATGAAAAAGCCATAAATATGTATATTAGCATATGCATACATGATCCTGTACTTGTCAATATCATGTAAAAAGCCACAAAGTGGATATCAAAACGGAATGAATATGAAGTCACACATGGACACATTTATGTAAACTGTAGTCTGCACTTGCCATTATAATGAATAATAAGCCAAACAAGCCATACAAATGCAATGTAAACTTTGATGAGAAGCAAAACAAGCCGAATGAATATGATGGAAACTTTGATGAGAGGCCAAACGAGCCAAATAAAGCATTTTCATGCTGAACAAAAAAAATGAAGACATGCCGCCAAACTTGAACAAACATGGATCTACGGCCTACCTTGATCTATGCAGTGATGACATCATCATTCCCATGATTCAACATAAGCAAGAAGGAGAGTCCGTGCAATGGACAGAAGTAGGCCAAGTTGACACATTATAAAGAAATCAAATCGGACATGGACAGAACCAGAAATAGAGAGAGAGAGAGAGAGAGAGAGAGAGAGAGAGAGAGAGGGAGGGGGAGAAAGAGAGAAGGTAAATCGTGCACGGTTAGACATTCCTGTTAATGAGAAAATTACAGTACGAGATACGATGACATTTCAAATGCTATACTCTATGGATTAAACGAAGAAAGAATTCTGTCTAGGAAGAGAGAATATTGTCTACATCTATGTGTGAATTGTTAGAGACATGTATCTATCTTGGAATGAGAGAGAAAAAGAGGAACATGAAAAGGTGACATTAATCAACAGGACAAGACTCAGATTGTCTCTATTTCTCAAGCTCAATGGAATGGGGATTATTAACATAGAACAATTCATTTCACAATATATGTCTATTTATAACAAATACCATATCGTGAATATATTGCAGAGTCCCGACGTTTCTTTTCTTTAGAAGCAAGAACTGAATTTGGTTGCAGCAACGTGCCATTCGGTATACTCAGAGCTGCAGAAGCTTGCATTATTGATATCAAATATTGATGCAACATGCTTTCATATACCAATCATTCCAGAGATCATTCCAGATAATATCTCTAAATTATTTTTGCATCTAGGTCTAGTCCATCCAGACATTCAAGCTGACATTGTGAAACTGTGATAGAAATAACTGGCATTTAACATTCATTTTGGTTTCAAAAGCCAGTTTTGAAAACTCTTTGCACAGAGCTTCTATAGTCAATGCACAATTTCCTGAATCATATAACCAAATGAAGTATAATTTACAATGAAATATAATGGGATTTGTTAAAAGCCTGATACCATGTTAGTCACATACATATATCAAAACATCTTAGACAATACAAGGAGGAAAAAACATATATAGAATAAGATTGTGTGAATATGTACAAATAAATGTCTCTCCTTTATCCTGTACACTTACATATTAAATGGAATAGCTGTAACCAAAAAGTGATTATGGAATACTTTGCACTATAAAGTCACTGTAAACAACAATTTAATTAAAACTCCTCCATCAAAACTTCTTTAAATTATCTCTGATAATGAATATTATATTTCCATGCTAGAGCATCTCATAACAAATCACTTTAATTGAATTGAATTGAGAGAAACATGATTATTAAAATGAAATGAAACATATCGCCTGATTGGTGCTAGATGAGAGTCAACTCACACAGAGCGTATGCATCCTTCTCACTCTAAGCAGACCATATACATCATTTACCTCAAATCTCACTTTTATGCATAAATTGAGAGTAAAATTACTGTCAAGTCACGCATTTTACCTTATCCCAATCAAACAAGTAAAAGTAGAATAAAAAGAGTGGATTAAAGATAAAGACCAGTGATGGTCATGCGATTGCATTGTGAAAGAAACGTTGTGGAATCGATCAAAAAAGGTTGATCATCTAGCAGATAAGTATTGGTGTGTACTGCAAGGTTCTGGAATCATCAAAATGATAAGAAATTTGGCCCAGTCTTGGTAAAGTTACAAGCACTGTACACAGAAAGATGTATATGGGACTATGCACACGTGCGTCACACGTGCATTTATCTCTCACATGCCAATAGAAACATTTACCAAATATATCAATCAGTAGGCGAAAAATTTATCATCATGTATTAGTTAAAACATACTCTTTCACATGATTGGTAATAGCTAAAGCTTCCATTTCATTTTTTGAAATTGGGGCGTTTCCAATACTGGTCTTTACCTTTAAGCACAAAATTATTCTCCTCTTGTGATTCTAATATCCATGATTACTTTTTGAAGAGCCCCAGAAACCCATGGCATGTAGAAAGTGAGAAATTACAGTTGCAATATTGATGGTTAAAAGGTGTGATATAATTCATGATTGACAATGGCCAAAGAAGTGTTCAGACATATTGTCTGGTGAGAACCATAAGGACATTAACTCATGTACTTTGAAACAAAGTTAATGCCCTTCTGGCTCTCAACAGAAGATATATCAGAGTGTAAAGCAAAATCAGCCACCAAGAATTGATAGCAAAAAACCCCAAGCTCTAACAGTTTACACCAAACTGTGTAGAAATTAAATCTCCAAAAGCTGTTTAAAAATGTCATTGGAAGAATTGTTCACAGGATGGAAATTTTAGAGCTATTACAAAAGTTCCAGGGCAAATATCATACTGAGCTCCTGTGTATATGAGTGTTGGTTACCCCATATGTATATAAAGTTGAATGTACTAAACAAAACAGAAAATTGGTGGAGTAGGGCTTTAATTTATTGTTAAGACCATAAGGAGCAAACTCTGCATAGTCGATCTGCCCCCTGTTGTCACACATACTGTTTTTTCCACTTCTCAAATTAACCAGCACGCGGCAATGTTGACACTCGCTCATTAATTTATCAGAGAATTAATTTGGCCTAATGGGGAGTCTGATCAATTATAGAGGGGATGCATTTGGCCCGCTAGCTGGATGCATTTGGCCCGCTAGCTGGATGCCTTCCTAGGCAGTGGGATGCAAAAATTGATCCATTGGTAGTGATGAAGAGTAGTAGAAATGCCAGTCATTAGTCCTCAAGCAAGTACATGTATATTGGAGTCTATATTACTATTAGGGCAATCATAAATTATGTTGTTGGGTTTTCCCCACAAATGAAATATAAAAAAATAGATGTAATGTTTGCTCTCAAAATACTAGAATTGGCCAAATATGACAACAGTTTGAGCAGCACTTGGTTAACAATAATAAAACTTGTTATGTTGCTTTTTGCAATTATAACAATTTCCTGATATATAGACAGTATAACAATGTTCACTATTTATACTATCACACTGCATTTAAATAACAATTTTATTTCTGCATTTTGTTGGGTATCAATTTACATTGTCTTTGGTGTTTCCCAATGTGTTTATCTGTTCATATAAAGATCAAAGGTAGTCATTATCAAAAATCAAAGTAAAATTTCTATTTATTATGCAGAATAATCAGAGCTTTGAGCATGGTGTGTGGATAACTTTTATTGGTGCTTTGGTGTACATGTATGTGACATGAAAGCTTTTTCAATATTGTTTTATATTTGCATGATGAAACTATATAATGGTCACTTGTGCAAAATCTGGAAATTCTCATTAATTATGATAATATCCTTGAATCATCCCTATTGTTTTAATAGTTATACAGCAGAATATAATAGCATTTGATTCATCAACTTATTATGATTGTTTAATATGAATAACATCAATTTTTATTCAAATATATTTCTTGATAATGCCATAAGCATTAGGCATCTGAAATGAAATATTCATGATCTTAGAAACCCTATCAGCTTTTCACACTAATAAAAAATATATTTATGAGATAAATGACAATGTGTGTCCATGACCCAAGGATTTGTTCGCAAGAAGAAAACTAATTTGCATCTTTAATTAATTTTGTATGTTTCAGGGTTATAAATAAAATATAGCGACCTTTGCTGTAACACTCTAATGAAATTACCTACGTATGTAACAACCTTGCCCCTCCAAAACCTCATTCACATAGGCTACAGTGCATGAACCGATTATAAAGAAAATGGCATGGCAGAACAAAATCACTAAATTGTGAAGCTTTGGTGGACAAAAAAATAGCTGCACATAATAAAAGTCCCTACGCTTGGCAAACTCTGTAATAAACAGCTTCCAAATTACCCATTGTTACACACACACTGTACTCGTGTAAACTCATTTGCGGTTACATTTTTTTCTTCTTTTTAAGCAGTTTAATATTTAATGTCTCAACAAGGTCCTAATGCAAAGAGATAATATTGTATCCTATCCACTTTGTAATCCTCAAAGTGATTAGATATTAGAGGCACATAAGGTGTAATTTTTCATCAACGAGTTTGACATGATAAGTCTCTGAAATGAGATTGGATATATACTTTGCTCATCCAACCAAAGAACAGAATTAAAGGAGCATTGTCCTTTTGTTCCTGTGTCTTTTTTGTATATACATTATTCATTATTACATTTATACAAGACTTGTAATGCTGGCAATGTAACAACAAAAAACACAATAGATCTAATCCCACTGTATTTCATTTTTCATTATACATTCTCTTTACATCCTCTTTTCATCAAGATCAATGCATTTCTCTTTTCTATTTATCTTTGCCGTTCCAAACTTGTTACCATGATTGCAATTTTCTCATCATTTTAACAACAAAAAACTCATTTCCTGCAAAACTTTACCTGCATAGGTCATAAGTATTTAAATATTTTTTTATAAATTTCAGTTGACATTTATCTGAAAGTGAGACAGAGAAAGGAGAAGGAAAATCTGCATGGCATAAACTACAAGCTTCCAAACTTGAATTTAATTCTACTTGTAAAAATGATGATAAGAAAGAAAAAGATGATAAGCTGTACATCATGGCCACCCTACACTCCAGCGAAGAGAAAGCTTTGTGATGATCTACAGAAAGGTTTCAAAATTGGTCCACTTTACAATAAATGAACCCCTTGCCTTCTAGAAAATTCACCTGATAAAATTTCAAAATATGCTTAATGTTCCTGTGAACTGTAGACCGCACATCAGCAGAACATTTAAAGCTTTTAGATCAAAAAGTTAAACAATAATTTCTGTTCAACGGTATATATTCCCATCTTTGAAAAGAATGTGTCACCAAAATGAAGATTTGCTTTGTATGACTTTGTTCAGTACTAAATTTGATTCCTTAGAAGAAAAGGGTGATCAGTTACTAAAGCCATCCAATAAGCCCCAAATCATTCACACAGCAGTTGTATATTACATGTGTATAGTTCCTAAGGCATGATGATTGAGAATGAGATATGCGTACCTCTCAGAACATACAATGAGTTGCCATGGTAACCCTGTAATCAGAAAGATTATCTTGTCTGCATAGAGCCAGAAGGGTGTTTTTGAAAATAAAGTTAAAAATAACATAACAACCTTCTGGATCTCAAATCATGATCTGATCTATTTAATAATGCAGTGTCATAAAAAAGATCAATGAAAACATGCAACGTATAAACAGCATGAAATTATCCCTTGCAGATAACATTTTTGGCATTTCGTTAAGAAATTTGGACAGGTTTTCACAGCAACTCATGGCTAGTTTTGAGTTTGATGGAGAGAAAATGAGATGTAAATGTAACTTGATGAGATGATTAATTCAATATAGCGTGGTGATACTGCTGAAAGAAGAAGAAACTACCTGTATCGCGGGGTCCAGCTTCGGTGACTAACTTGACTTATAGTCGTTACTTGACTAACCACAGTACTTGATCTTTTGACAAACATAAGTATCATAAAAATACAACAAATTACAAAACTGTCGAAACTGGTGTCTTTTTTCTACAGGACCAAGCACAATGGATATATGGTTTATCTTATTGAAAACAATAACAATAATACTCCAAGTCAGCTCCTGGATTTCTACAAAAGTTCTAAACTAGAATAAGAAGCTAAAATGAACAATGGTGTATGTCTGACATACCTTACATTTCAATCAAGGAGAAATTATTGTAGAAATTAATATCATTTACAAGAAATAGATAAATGGAAGATAGAGAAACATATCACATAAACATCTGTAAGTCATACAGCTCAAGTTATTGAACATGATAACTTATACGCAAGCGGTATGTTCAAGTACATGGAACATTCATAAAGATAATTTATGTTATCCATACATGTTTAATGGCTTAATCTGAATGCCATTACTCTATAGGTAAAGCAGCTAGTATTACATTCAATTTGGAAATATCTTGTCAGATAAACAAGACATCTCACATAACAACTACAATTCTAATCTATTATTATGGTTAGTAGACAAGAAATTAGAATAAGAGTTTTTCACATATTCACAATTGTCAACACATCTACTATGCTAATCTATCATTAGGATTAGTAAACTCAAATAAATCAATCCAAATTAAGAATCTACAAATCTTTAACTAAAAACATGAAATAATTGCAAAGACTTTCATTAGATCAAGTCAAGGCCAATTTCAACACTTTCTGAGAAAATCTTGAATTTTTGGTCTACCAGGACAGAGCAGGGCGTTAAGTAATATAGACTTAAAGCCCTTCTGGCTCTGAATACTGGTAAATGGTATGGTTGGATTACAAAATGTCATCTTCATAAATTGCAATGATCTTTTCAAATTGCTATAAGACCCATTAACACACTGTGGTCCAATCATCCAAATTTTACAAACATACAAACGTTATGGGGAAGTTTGCTCAGCACATGAGCCTTTTTTCTTGTCAACTTCCACCATGATATTGCGATGTTTTAAAGGGGAAGTCCAAGTCCACCCTGAAATTAAGTTAGTTTTAATAGGAGTAGAAAAATGAGAGAAACAAGTCAGTGAAAGTTTGAGCAAATTCCGATTAAAAATAAGGAAGTTAGGATTTTTGAAGTTGTGATCAATCAAACACAAATTGGCAACTCTATGACGTATCATGCGAGCTCAACTTCCATTTGCTCAGTACTAAAAAAATCTAAAATTTTCATTTTCCCTCAAGAAAAATTTCAACCATACATGCACCCTAAATATAATAATTGCAAATATGTTTCTATACTCCCCCTGCAAGGAACAAATATATATTCCGTCATCAATAGCGAAGAAAACATGATTTTATGGAATATTATGCACAAAGCAAATGAAGGAGAGCTCATATAATAAGTCACAGAGTTGCCAATTTGTATTTGATTGATTACAACTTCAATAATTCATAACTTTCTTATTTTCATTCAGAATTTGCTCAAACTTTCACTCACCTGATTTTCTTATTATTCTGCCTCTATCGAAACAAACTTATTTTGGGGGTGGACTTTCCCTTTAATAGTAAAGTTGTGATAATGCTATTACCATTGCAAAGTTAACAGTGAAAGTTGCTCAGCACATGAGTCATTTCCTTTGTATACTTCCATTGTTACATCACAATGATAGTATAATCATGATAAATTCATTATCATTGTGATGTTACAGTTAACTTTGTTTAGCAATAAAGCTAATTTTGTCTGTCTTCTTCAACTGTAACTTTGCAATGTTAATAAAATCAGGATATTTGGACTGTAGTGTATAGATGGGCCTACAGACACGATTTATTGAAAGTCTTTGCAGTCTTATTCTTGTTACTGATTCTTCATATCATAAACATAGAGAATATATTTCTGGTTTAATACGTTGTTGTTTTTGGTAGAAATACTAACCTGGCTCTGGCAAACTGCTGCTTCTCTTCCTCCAGATAGAGCGGTCTGCTGTCTTCCGTTCCTGCTTCTAAATCTCGTAAAACCCTGGAGATTAAAAAGATCAAAAACAGATATATTCAAGATTATACTGCATGTTTCCTCCTTGAACCGAATTACATCGGGTATTCATGTTCAAAAAAATGATTTGTGTAGGATTTACAGATTTAGAAATAATGGGAAATTAAAGAGCTACCTTATTGGAGCAAAAGAATGAGAGAGAAAAGAGAGAATGAGAAGACACAAATCACTATGAAAGAAGAAAAGAAAAGAGATGTAAGAAAGAGAGGAAGAGAATTTATCAGTTCATTAAAATCAGCATTTTCAAGGACTTGATATGGTTGGAACAAATAGATAATCACTTTCTTTCACGAGTCTTTCACATGACTTTCTCCTTTGTTTGGTCATTTAGGTTGAGACAAATTTACAATATCCTATTCCCATTCCTATGATAGAATAAAAACATACAAAGACAGGAAGAAAAACACCTGAGAATTCAACAGAAATATATTATTTTTCTCAACATCTTGTACAGCATCACATACCCAATATTAATCAAGCCACATATTTATCTCTCTTTTGAAAAACCACATGTACTATTGGCCAGGGGCTGAATCTGGCTGTAAAGCAGGGAGTCCAGAGACATTTGTGCGTTTGAGTGACTGGTTGACTGAAAGCCAGTCTCTACCTTTAAGGCTTTTAATTCATTGGTCTTCACACCTTAAATTGCCAATATGCATCACCTAAACTGACAGACACTCGGAGGAATAGAGAATGACAGACACTCGGAGGAATATAGAGAGCCAGCCGTGAGTGAGAGTAAACCCGACTTATCACGTCATAACATGACATGAGCAGAAGAGCAAATAAAAGCCTCCCGCCAGTCACTAGATCACAGGATGGATGGCACAACATTGTGGTATTCATCCTCATCTTTTCTTCCACAGCTCTCTCTCTCTCTCACGAGGGCCTCCTCACCAATCCAAAATGTCAACAACTCGAGAGCTCTATCTCTAGTACTAAACTCCTTTTTCTTTTGGGGAGAAGCTTTCATACTTGTCATTCACTGCTCAATATTGCACCAAGCTTGAATGTCAAGTGAGATCTATATCTGAGACAGCTAGGGAGATGGAGATATTATATTACAGAGTTTTTGAAGGGATGATGAGAGCCGGCATTCTACATCTTCATAGCTTTCTAACATTTGCCTGTACTGCTAATATTACCTTCACCGCTGAGAATAACTATGTTGTTTCGAAAGAGAAAACAACATTATAGCATTGGGTAAGCCTACAGCTAAAATGTGATATAGCAGGCGTCGAGAGCATATGACCCTCTTTTAATTGAGAACACCAACATATCGATAGCTATACCATCAAGAGCAGTATAGATATCACATCTCCCTGTATCGATTTTAACAAAATTCTTTTGGTACAATATCCATAAAATTACTTTAATAACTTAACCTTGGCTTCAAAAATACAATATGCGCTATGTATGCTGTGTGTCTGGCTCCACAGAATTGATATATTACAGAATCGGAGAGTGGCTCTTAAATATGTCAAAAAGTAACATGTTATCTAAAATAATGTTTGATGCTTGAATATTCTGCAATTTCAAGCTCGCTTCTTTTTTTCCCTCCTGCTTTTTTTATTCATACTTCTTTCCCTGATAACTCTCATTCTTTCTCAGTCTTTCTCTTTTTCCATGACAATTCCCATTCATTTTCGTAATGTTTTCCTTTTCATTCTCGTCCACCTCCCCTTTCTCTCTCATCTTCTTCATCTTTTTACCTTCTTCCCTCTTACTTAAATCAGTATCTCTTCATCTTCATTATTCTCCCTCAAACTATATGCATATGAATGCATCCAGTCACATCTTAAATATCAACAGTCAACACCGTTACTCCATCACCCAACCTTTCCAATACCTTAAGTAAAATATCTTCAAGAACTAGGTTCATTCAAAACATCCCATCCCCTCAAGACTCTCCAACCCAGACAATACAACCACCGACTTTATCTTATTTGCAGAATTAGGCTAGCTCCTTTGTGAGCAATTAGAGACGGTGGTTGTTAAGGGCTAGAGGGCGAGACAAGCTTCTCTCCTATATTCTGGTGCTGCCAATTTGCCTGCTGGATGTCTGACGATGTTTGAGATGGGATCTTACAAGCGTACAGGTGTTACATGGCTATATTAACCCTTTACATACTACAGAAGGGTAAACACTACAAGTGCATCGAGAGTGATTTAGCTCTAAGCAAGCAATTGTATCATCTGGTCGGAGCCAGAAGGGCATTCATTCTGTGCCTAATACTTCTGGATGTTAGGCAACAATAAAGCAGCTCAGGAAAAATAGAAATATAAACATCACCAACGATTAGATCTCTCTTTTTTTTAATATAGCAACTTTATTCTTTTATTCCCACAGAAACTTATACTTTTATTCCTCATGGCATATCTTTGAAAGACATTCCCCCTTTTCTGATAAAGTAATTCACTTAATACACTGCTTCACACATTAAAAAAGAATCGTGTTTAGAATTATCATTTCATACTTTCTCTGTGGAAAAGAAATGTCCTAGATTTGTTTTATCGGTTCTACATTGAGCACAAAAGCACTTCACTTCCTAAGCACGTACTAGCCAGCAAATATTCAGTGCATTGTAAGTTAATATTCTGAAGGTAACTATAAGCACACTTCATTCAATTAATCTCACAAAGTACAATACACTGTTCCCTTTTTATATCAACCCTTAATTCTAAGAATCTTTTCTTGACTCTTAAAGTTTTCCTCTTCGTTATCCCAAATAGCTTTCCCATTCCTTTCACATTGTTTATCCGAATTCTGCATTTCCTTCATTTTCTTAGAACTTTCCTTCATTACATAATTTCTTCCTTCTACATTTTCTCCCTCAATTCTTTTTGCATTTGTATTACTTTTTTATTAGTTCTTTCTAACATACTTGAGCTACTGTATAATCCTCTTACAAGCATTTATGCAGCTAACTCATGGTTGATGTAATGTCCTTCTAGTCCTCACACCAATCTGCTTTCAGAACAAGGAGGCTAACCTGATGTTGATTAGACATCCTACTAGCTCTAAGCAGACGTACCGTTAACCTTAAAGGGATCGTTTAACAATGTTAAATGTGAGATTCACGGTCCTATTTGTTACCAGTGTCTGTGAAATGGTGTAATATTGAAGCCCTAAAAAAATCGCACATCAAAATGATCAGAAAGTACCTCACAAAGTAAAAATCTTTGAGAGACTGGTTTTACCATACTTGTTTTCCCCAATAGACTGTAGTGTTATGAAAATTGTTTGGCAAACGCAAAATTTGATTTTGATTTTCAATCATAAATATCTTGATAATCAGACAGGCGATCGGCTTGTAAAAGTCATGGGGTTCCTGACTGACCTAAAGGTTTATAATTATCATTGCAGCATGAGCTAAATCAAGAATTTTTTTAACGGATCTAAGACAAAGTCACCGGATCCCTTTAAACTTATACCATTATGTCAATTAGGCCTCGCTCCCGCATACATCTTTTTTCTCCTAAAGAACCCCAGTATTTCCCAGCTCTTTCCTCTCTCCTTGGATCCATCCCGTTTCATCGATCTCCCAATCCCATCCACTATCTCGCGTTCCACCATGAATATACAGAGTCACGTAATAACAAGTACTGTAGATTCATGCTATTGATCTATCTTGTATCATCTACATGCCAGCTTGGTTCGTGTCCAAGTTCACACCTAATTCATGCATTGTAATTCCTAGCCTGGCATTTAAATGAATATCTCATGTGCTCAAGATACCAACCCCCAAATAGGACCTGTTCTCCTTTATATTCCTTATTTGTGTACATGAACAGCATTAGTAGTTGCCAGGCATTTAAATGAGTATTCATGAGGCACCAACTCCCAAAAAGGTACCCTTTTCTCTTATATTTCTTTTCTTTACACATTCACTGTATTTGATTGGCACTCTAGCAAAGTAGTGTTACACATGTGAATTGTTTATCATGGCCCCTGTTTATCACAGATTTCATTCACCATTCACCACAGCATCATGAAAACACCTTGAATGTTGTTTTTTCCAGTTTCTGCACTCCTCTGTTTCTTTACTTTCTAACACACATATCAACAGGTTCTACAGATGCCTAGCTCATTCAACAATGAGTATACAGGTGTAGTTTTAAATATATAGGTGTATTCCATAGGGGCACAAAAATCTGGACAAAACCATTACAGTAACAATATTTTGTTTAAATGCTAGTAACAAATAAACAAATAGCAAGTGTAGTACTTCTCCCTCTCCACTACCTTGTAGTCTTGGGATAAGATTTAACGGCTAGTCCTAAATTCTGGTAATGATGATGATGACTAGAACATGCTAAAGACTGAGGAAACACCATGTTAATCTTAACAGGTGTGTAGGCCTGAAGTATTCTGTCTAATAAGTTACTGATATCATCACAATCTTTTAGTATACCAGAGCAAGTTGATAGCCCTCCTAGGATTAGACAATATAACCAGATAATTAACTCTAAAGAAGTTGATTTTTGATTATTTTTCAGTAATTTTTATGGGACAGTAAATCACCAAACTTTTAGCTGTCTGCAATGTTGTCAATGGCAGTAGCGACCTTATTGTAGGCAGCTGACGAAATTCCTTGGGTTTGCCCAAAAGTACTTTTGAAAGCATGTACGGCTAAGAATCTTACCAGGTAGTCAACATACACTTCCCTGTCTGAATAGTGGCTAGCATTCCCCTTCTCCCGTTTCACTCGAGTGTACTTTAAATTGGAAAGAGGAACCCCCGGAAAGAGACAGGTGCATGGCATGCATGTTATGCATTGCATATCCAGACTGATTAGCAATCCCTCTTTTTCATGGGTATGTTCTTCTTACAGGAGGCCTTTATGCTCTGAAATGTCTGCTTACTGATGCCCTGAAATTTACATTTTCCTTTCCTGTTTATGTTGAATGTGTGTTGTTCCACACAAACTAAAACTGGACGTTCAAGATAAAGACCAGTTATGGTC